TCTAATGCTCACAGAACAGCCTCAGCTCACAAATAAGCAGAAAAGCAGAGGATTAGAGGAGCCGGAGAAGCATCAGCTTTCCCTGCCAGCAGGAGGGGCTGAGCAATTCCTGTTTTTCAGACAGGTTCTGCTCTGTCTGTAAAGGGTTAATGGGTGAAGCAAGCACAAGGAATAACCCAGGAGTTGGTTCATTAGTCTGGGGACTGGTATGAAGCAGAGGAATGTTGAAGCCCGTAGCAGTGGCACCTCCCTACATCCTTCCAGCAATTCAGGAGCACACGGCTGTTGGCACAGAGGGGCTAGGACAGGCCTCACGTAGAGCGAGCTCAGAGCACGTCCAGGAACAGCAAGAAAACAACACACAGAAACAGGGCCATGTTCAGGGGCAGCTCGTCAGCCTGAGGATGAGGGAAGGGGGATAAAGAGAAACCTCGTGCCCCATTTCCAGCATGGGCCGAGGTGTGGAAGTCATAGCTTAGGGAGAGCATGGGGTCAGATGCTGTGTGTGAGCTTACAAAAAAAGAGCAATACTGTGATATTTACTACCAGATGTGCACAAATTGCACCATGGTTCCAGCTTTCTCTCTTTTCAATATCCACCTGACACGTTTACAAGATGAGGCCATGCCCATCCCTCCCTGAACATGTCTTGGTCCCAACTAATGCCACAGTGACTGAGTACGGCCTTCACAGGACAACAAAACGGGTACCACAGACTGGCAGCTGGAGGCCCTCCAAATCCTTCTGGATTTAAAAAGGTGGGGACCCACAGAACAGCCTGTATAAGTGAATGTTTTTCACCCAGCCTGAAATGGGAGAACCGGTGTTTAAAATGACAAAAACAACCCAGAAAGCACCCTCTTGCTAGTACTTCGTTTTCATGGTTTGAAGCTGCAGCAAGCATATTTACAGAACAGAATCACCTCCGCTGGTTCAGAACCTGCTCTCCTTTCTCACCTCTCCTCCTCCGCTTGCAGTATCACACAGTCACCAAGTAATTAATGTATCTGGAGAGGACTCTGGGGAAGTTTCCTCCAAAACAATTAAAAAGAAGAACAAAAATAAATAAGTAAAACAGAGAAGTCCGTGATTTAACTACTCAAAATATTCCAAATGAAGGACAAAAAGAAAAAGGCTCTGAAAAGCTAAAGCTAACAGACTCATTTATGGAAAAGCATTGCTAACTGCTACCATTCAAGCAGAACATGCTCCACTGCTCTGGCCACTGAGCAAAATTAAAAAAACAACTTTATCTTTAGAGCAAAAAGGATATTTTAATAAAATTAATATTTTTATTGCTGGTGGCACTCTTTACCTTGGACTCCTGAACTTTCTGGGCACATTTTATATCTTTTTTTCCAAAAGCCCAAGGGCATTTTCCTTAAAAATGAAGCAGATCCTCATACATTCAGATAACTGCAGATGCTGGGCCCCACATATCACGACACTCAGGGAGCCGACAAGCCCGCTGAACATGACATGGTGAAAAATGTTTTTTTACCATCTTCTGCTTCAAATGCAGAAGAAAACTGGTTGAGTCAGAAGCTGGACACTACAGGATTAGGGTGAAGAAAAGCAGAATTCTCCCAGGGCGTCCCTCTATCTCCATCCCAAGACAATGAGAGATTTCCCTGCAAACGAGTCAAATCAGGTGGCTTCTTCAATGGTCTTCTTAAACAATTTGTAAAATGTCCGGGATTTTTTGCTTGGTTTTTCATCGTTAAAATTGAAATCCCTCAGCTGGAGAGCAGAGGGGCCTCTAGCAACATTAGTAGAGGTTAATTTTCCTTTTACAGAAATGCAGCTCACTGGTGCTTGGAATTTGTTTGCTCTTCCTTTTATCCAAAGCCAGGCTGGAGCCAGGAAGGTGGGCTGCACATGCACAACTGGCAGTTCCTAACCCATGGTGTCCAGCAGGATGATTTGAGAGATGAAGACTGAGCTCCTGGCTTCGTGTACTTGCCATGGGAGATGTTCTCCTGCTGGTGCCCGCTGGTGAGAGGTTTTTGGCGTTGTCATGGGAACAGCTGTCATCCTCGGGGAACAGCCTCACTGTGCGAGGCTGCCTTTCTGGTTTGCTGTAGAAAGCCATTTTCAGGAGTATTTTGCCTTGGGTTTCCAGTTAGTCTTATCTTTCCCAAAACCCAGGCTGTAGAAATTACAGAGATTATAATGATGGATGGTGACAAAGTCCCCAGGCAGTGCTCAGTATTTGTCTACACCGTGAACTAATTTTCACTTGCCTGGAAAGTGACCTGATAGCTTCATTACCTTCTACTTAAAAGGCTTACTCTTACTCTCTCTCACACACACTTGCATCTTTCCTTTCTTCCTCCAGGAACTCAGTAATAGGATTTGTTTGCTGTTACCCGAGGTGTGGAGGGGAAGCCAGCACACTGCACTGCCCTTTTTAGGATGTGCTGATGCACCAAGACATCTGCAATGTCTTGTTTCACCAAGTGAGGTAGAAATAGAGCTGCTACAAGGGTCTCTCACGGGCTAATTCTTTCATGCGCCTGCATGCCTAGGCTACAGTGACAGAAGCAGAAGACTGGAAGCTCCACCATGCCACCATCACTGGCTCTTGTTAGGTCCTCCTTTACCCAGCTCTCAGGGATGAGGCGATAGCAAGGGAAGCCCTGACCAACAAGTCACTGACCATAGCAACAGACGATTTTATGCGTAAGCATAGATGTAGTGTCATGGGTGTCTCACAAGCAGCATACAAAAAAACCACTATTGATTCTCTTCATAATGGTAGGAACAGCTTTCAGACTATTTCAGACCTAGCCACATATGAGCCCAGTTGTCCAAATAACTCACCTTTGATTTAAGAATAAAATGGGTGGTCAATTCAAAATGATTTTTTTCCTCCAGTATTTTCCCTGAAACGATAACTTGAAAATAATGAAGGGGGGTTGAATTAATTATTTTGACTCAGATTGTTTCAACACGGAAATAAAGATCCAAAATCAGAAATCAATACATTTCACTTAGGAAATTTTAAACATTTTAGCATTCTAAATCCCTCTCTTTTCTCTGTGTCCATCTATGAAGACAAATCAGCAAAATGCATGAATTCAAAGCAACTTCAGTCAACTTAAAATGCATTTTAGCAAACCAACTCTGAACCTTAAAAAATATAATCGAGATCAGATCCTGTAGCAATCTGACCCAAAACATTACTTCTGAGCAGTCTATCCTCAAACTTCTCAACTCTCCATACCTTGTTCCACTCTCTTAAGAGACTGAGTCTGCAAACTTTTTACATGTCAAATTTATACTGAAACCAGCTAGAGTTTCCTACAGCTTCTGCTGGAATAGAACAAAGCATTACAGGAAGGAAGGGAGGAAGGGAAGAAGGGTGGAAGGGAGGGAGGAAGGAACAGGGGAGAAAAAAGGAAGGAAGGAAGGAAGGAAGGAAGGAAGGAAGGAAGGAAGGAAGGAAGGAAGGAAGGAAGGAAGGAAGGAAGGAAGGAAGGAAGGAAGGAAGGAAGGAAGGACCTTTTATAGCTCACTTATTCTCAAGACACTGAAGCAGGAGCATACTCTTCAGTTTCAGCAAGGGTTGGGGTCAAGGAGGCTGTTTCATACCATTTACATGTGGCAGATGCCAATCATCATTTCCTAAAAGATCCACAACCAAATGGTTTAATGTCAATACTAAACATTTGGCAGCAAGTGTTATGACAAAAGTCTTATACACAAATATAGTACAGTGTCGCTTAAGTACTCAATAGAAGAAAGGGATTGCAATTAAGGTGCTTTAAGGTACCACATAATTTCATTGATTATAATAAATGCTTCTCCCACTTGACAATATCATGTATTGTCCAGTACAGACTCTTCCCACCTGGTTGGTTCTGTTATTATAGGAGAGGGGCACCAGGGTGAACACTACATTTGGAACACTGATTTTTTAAGCCTTACTAAACAGAAATTACATCCTTTAGTGATTCAGTATTCATTTCTGAAAGCATGTGATATGAGAAGGGGTTCATGTTGTCAAAAGTTGAGTTGATTTTGAAAGTGAAAAATGTTTCCAATAGCAGGCTTCATTCTGCTGCTGAAATGAGCGGCTGCCTCCTTAGGTTCTTGTGGCCCAATACAGAGTTTCTGCAGGATAAAGAAAGCCTTCCAGTGACTAAATGCTACTATGATTATGTATCTCTGGCAAGAAAAAGAACCTGACTTCCAGCTTGATAGACATTCCTCGTTGCAAAAAAAAAAAATATGCTGCACTCTATTTATTTATTCATAAGCCATTCCTCAGCGGATCACATCCCTCTGTTCACAAGCCAGTGAGTTTTCCTGAGCAGACCACAAAGGCAGATTATGTCAGACAGTGAAGCACAAGCTTTTTTTTTTGTTAATCCAGTTACTCTGGGATGAGATCACCCCACCGTGAGTCATTAATTCACACAGACAACTTGTAACACACAATAAGAAGCGAAGCCTTGTCCTAGAATCCCTACTGCACTGCCCAGGAGGCATCAAGAGCTTTTAGGCCTCAGCACCATAGTACACATCTATCTATCCATCTGAAGCACTTATCCTCAGTGCCCTGTAAGCTTTTCACAAAAGCCAACATAGACTCTAGGTGGGTTTCAAGACCCAAAGAACAGGCCTAGACTACAGATGGACTTGAGCATCAAAACTTTCTTCTGAACCCACCTCCAGCCACTCAGCTGGGTTTTGATGAATGTAATCACCTAGATGCTTGCCACTGCAGCACTCTGCCACAAGCCTTTTCTGTGCCTGGCCTTCAGGTTATAATTCTTTTAAGGAGATTCAAAGTTATGTGTACATTAAAAGAAATATATGCTCTTCTGCATACTGGTAGGTCATGTTGATCGACTTCCTTCTGCAAATCCTCAATGGTTATGGAACTGAACAGCAGTGACTTCTCTTACCTGCTGGAGCACAGGAGTGGACAGCAAAATTGGCTGGAACAAATTAAGTAGGGTCAGAAACTAAAGAGATGGCACTACACAGGTTAATCAATTTCACACTGGGAGAACATCTCCAGTCTCTTTTATTTCCATTTAAAGAAAAGTGTGAACATAAATCATCAGACTATAAAGAAAATATTTCAAATAATTTCCAGTTAAAAATACAAGGCTACAGCCGACCTCTCCAGGTACACCTGGGATAACTTGCTATTGGGATGAGTTCCAGAACAGCACTGCATTTTGGGTCAACTCCAAGATGCTCCTTGAAACCTGAAGTCAAGGACCCATTTATCCCTGGTACCTTCTATTCTCACAGATTTGAACAGGCTCATTTCTAAGTTTTTCCATTATCTCAGCAGCACAAGATCAGCCCTCTGTAAGAGTGAGGATCAATATGGAAGGAGGATCAATATGAAATGATGAGACCGGGGGCAGGAGAAGGGAGGCAAACAAAAGGGAAAGATATATAAGCACTAGCATCCATGAAGAAATACTATTGCCATGAAAAGAAGGCACTTGAGTTAAATCATTCTGCTGTTGATTTTTTTTACTAGGACTTTAGAAAACAATCATTAAACTTGGGTTTATGTGGACTTTTTTGTCTGCTTTCTTATGTGAGGATGGGGAGGGTTAATTTTAAAGACAGCAGGGTCAGAAAGACCTCTGTCAGGCAGAAGAGGCTACAGGAATGGATATACAGAAAGAGGCTGGCACTTCACTGCCAGCCTGATTTCTTTGGAAATTGAAGAGTACACACAGACAGAGATGACCCAGTGCAGACAGCAACCTCTTGAACGTAAGCAGCATAGCCTCTGACATGGAGAAGTCATTGTTTTGGCTGTGATTATTCTTGCTGCTCCATGCTTGTGCCAGACAATTGTCACACCACTTGCTTGCTGAGACTGTCAGGGGTTAGATGAACAAGAAGCTGTGAACAGAAGGACAGGAGCAAGTGTCCAGCTGGCGAATTCTCTTCCAGGTTCCCCTGCATCGAGGGTTCCCTACTGCTTGCCAGTGCAACAGCTGATTCCTGAAACACAAGCATAAGAGGGAGAAAATCACCACGCTGCACTGCTGCTGCAGGAAGTCACTTGTACAAGCAGGGCTTAAATCACTGAGTCAGTCCCGTTCAGTTTCCTAACATCAGTTTTCACTCCATAGACCCAATTCTTCCTTTCTGCTGCTGTGAAGTGGCACCAGGCAGTGATCCCCACAGGATTACAATAGTGTGAAGCAGTCCTCGCAGGAACACTGGACTGAAAGAAGCCAGAGCAGCACATACTGCAGATGCTAAGTCCAAAATGATTCACAGAAACCTTCCTTCTAAGGTGTTCATCGTTGCATGCAACAACTCACGAAATGCTCCCACATCCCCGTAGCTCCTGTACTGAAACACTTGACAGGCTGCATGGTGGGCAAAATCTCTGTGTGTTTCCCTTTCTGTGCTCCCCCTCAGCAGGCGGAGCTCTGTTGCCATCCAAGGCCACTGAGATGCTGAGTACACAGCACACACAATCCACAGCACACTTCCATGTGAGCAGGTGCAGGGATGTGAGCATCTCTCTCTGTACAACCACGTCAGTGGACCATCTGCTAAAGTTATTCTACCTTGCTAAGAGCTGCATGCTAACACAGCTTCTTGATTGCAGCTGGTTAGAGGTACCAGACCTTCCTTTGTTGGAACAAGGCTACTGACAGGTCTCTTAAGAAGATAAAAAACAAACAAACAAAAAATCCCACAACGCTGTTCCCTCAGGCAGTCCATCAATTCATTGACCAGAACTGAACAGACAGATATCCTATTAAAACAACCAAGCTCTATAGGCTGTTTTTCACAATCAGTGGCTGCAGAAGAAATGCTGGCCAAAGAGCCACAGAAACTAAAAATCTGCTATAGCAAAGGATCACTGCAGGCAGTAGCAGCACAGGCTTTGATACAGATACTCCCTCATGAGCACATAAACCTGGGCTTGAACAGGAGACTTATAAAACCCATCTCCACAAGCAGCTGGAGTACAAGAAACAAGATGCGGAGTGTGTTCCTTTCCAGAAATCATCGTTTACTAGCTTAAGGGAGTTCTTCACATCAGTGTGTCTCAGACCTGTCCTTTGGAGAAGCACAGATATCACGATCTCCAGATACCCTCTTGCCCTGTGCAGAGGGCTGTCAGCAGAACAGCCCAACAGATCCCTAACTTCTGCTTGTTTTATAGTTCCGTGGAAACTGGAATTAGTGCTCTAGCTCCATGAAGGTAACTCTGCCCTTAGTTTAATGAGATGTCATGCTCCAGAGCAGGGTTTTATGCGTCACACATGGTTGGAAGAAGACTCACTGTATTTTTCTTCTGGCTTCAGGTCATCTCAAAATACCAGAATCTACACAGGGAGGATTAAGATCCCAGATAAAGCAGGCTGCACAGATCAATCCCATCCCCTTCAAAACTTGGGCTGCAGCTTTACCTTTAAAAGGCTTTACTCCTTAAACACATAAGCTAAACTTGCCAACTCCAGCCTTGCTGGTGGGGAAGGCAAATACTGACTTTGCTATAAATCAAGTCCATCCATTCTTTTTCTTTCCCCCCCCTGCCATGAGCATAGGCATAAACTACTGCAGTCTGGACATTTATGTGCTACAACCGCTACAGCTTGCTCCAGATGATGAAGAGCAGCGGATCCTTCTAGACACAGGCTGAGTAACAGTTTCACTGATGTCAAGTTTGCTGCATTGTGCTTTATTTGTAGATCTTTCAGAAGATGATCCAAAATTAACAGATCAATTTCCTTGCTCAATGCTCTGCATTGTTTATCTCTTAACCTTCTAGAAGGAGGAAGCCGATCCAAGCAATTGAATTAACCCTGATGGCCACAGAGACCTGGAAATAAATCAAATATTTTGGGAAACCTCCTGAGCTTGCACACATTTCACAACAGGGGTTAAAATGAACTAGCATCTTCTACAGAGTGGGAGACAGGTGGAAGGCAAAGATAACAAGCATCTCCAACTTGACGCATTTATAAGCCAGACTCCACTTAGACATTAGATGATAATTAGGAAATACTCATCAAAATATACCAGCATTGCTGAGTTTATTTTAAACTCTGTCAGATGTTTTCCTTCCTGAGAGTCACTCTTGGAACAATATCTCAGGGAGCTTAATGCTGGCACAAGCTGCCGAACTGACAGCACGAGAGAAGCAAAGCACAGGCACGGCGTGGGTGTGACGGAGCAGCAGCTGTGCATGCTTCCCCGCACAGCCTCAGCCAGGCAGACCCAGGGCAGCACGATAGCACAGGGCAGCTGGTGTAACCACTGCTCTAAGGTCACCAGCAAACCACCCACAGCTCCCCAGCAGGGTGGCTGGCAGGGTTACAAAGGTGAAAATTCAAAATGAGAGCGAGTTGAGTATGCAGCCAGACTCATGAGCAGATCTGGGTGTACTCACCCAGGCTGCATCCTAGGCTCTGGCATTAGCTTTGGCCTTCCACTGTCCTTTATCTCAGGGCAGCAGTTGCCCTCCCATCTTCTTCCACTGTTCTTTCTAAGCATCACATTTATGCTCTCCACATCTGGCCAGCAAATCCCAGCCTGAACAGCTCGCCACACATTCCTCTCACAGCACTGCTCCATTCCAACACTGCACGCTCAGATACATCCACTGACTGACAGAAGGCAGAAGCCTTTTCACAGACATTCCCCTCACCCTACTCAACAGTTATCCCCACCAAGAGTCCTTTCCTCCACGTAACCTGGTTGAAAAAAGGTGTATTATTTCTGGAAACTCTAATTATAGTTAGGGAATAGCTCTATTCATATAAAGAATACCTGTATTAAATATTCAGGATGTTGATATCACACAAATCAAGCAAGGTATCCAGCCCTAGACAAGAATCAACTTGATCCACCACTGTCAGGTCACAGTGTTGAGCACCAGACCACGCCATGAAGGTTCTCTAGTGGACATGTGGGGGTCATCTACAAATCCATGTGAAACGTAAGGGAAATTTTCTCACACACACACAGGAGGAAGCTGCAGGCCAGACATCATTCATGTTCCACCAGCCATTTGCCTGCTCATCTCTGCCAAAGCTGCCCAGCACTGCTAGTTCAAGGAGGCATAAAGTGTGTCTCCATCGTCCTGCAGATAAGAGCTTTGCTCAGGCCAGCCCAGGCTCAGCGCTGCAAGCCTACATTGCTACCCTGGTAATGAACTCAAGTGAACACACACGGTACTTCAGCTTGGCACACGCAGAGAGCTCATACCTGCCCAGAAAAATGCCACAGGCATGACTTCATTTGATATTATAGGCAGTAACACTGGAGGGGTGAAAGCTTACTGTGTTAAAAGTTGTTTTCCCTGCTGGTTCTCACATGCCTGATATGAAACGGACCCACCAATTTATCTTCCAGACCTACAGCAAGTCTCTGGGAACAATTCCTAGGCTCTGCTCAGTTCCAGTGGATTCAAACTCGCTGCTGAGACACGGGCTGAGTCCTAGTTCACTGAAGTCAGTGAACCAGTCACCATCCGCTCTAATTCCTTTATGACTACCCATGTTGGCAGGCTGAAGGCTGGAGATGGATCAGATCATCATTCCTGAGGGACACAATCATATTTAATTTGCGCTTCTATTCCACATACAGTGTTGTTCACCCAATAGCTAGGCAAATGAAAATGCCCTCTTCCTTTTTATGCAGTCCTGTGAGGAAACCAATTTCTGAATATACTTTTTATTTTGCTTAATCTGATGTTCCTGTCTGGCTCCAATGTTTTTGTAAAATAACATTATTGTAAGCTTTTAAAATTATTTACATATTGAACACAAGAAAGAGTTTATCCTTGCCACCCAAGTAAGATTTTTTCCTCTTTATATAAAAGCCTTTTGAAACCTTTGTACATAACAGGCTGAGGCAAGGAAGGAAAAGAACCTTACATGATTTCCTCTTACTAAAAGCCTGAGACAAACCCTGATAAAAGGACCAGTATTGGCCGTCTTGCTAGTGCAATACTTTGTGTGCTTAAAGCCTAATAAACCTAGTTTAGAGTTCCTAAGCCAAACAATCATGCTTATTTCAACCTTTATACGTGTTTTTAAAATATTCCTCCCCACCACTGACAGACAATGACTTTCCCAGCCAAGGCTGTTTTGCAGTTTCATAGGATGCCTTTAATAAAGCAACCACAGGGTTAAATTCCAAGAGTATCAGGATAAAAGCAATGCACAAGCTGTGCCTCCAATGACTACAGCAGAGGTTTGGGAGCCAGGACTCCTCTGTTGCTGGCTCTGCCACAGATGTGTTTCACAGCTTCAAGCCATTCCCTTCATCTTCCATCTTCACTAGAGTCTACCCAACCTGTACAACTAGGGTGGTCTCCATCAATCGCCCCAAAGCATTTTCAGCTTTCCAGGGAAAGGATGCTGAAAGTGCAAGGAGTTAACAGTATTTCCATCCAACCTCAGGTGCCAGCACTTACCCCAAGTCCCTAAGCCAGCTACCACTTGCCAGGAATATTCATAAATGATCACTTGTAGGGAAAAAAAAATCCCCAGTGCTTAACAATTTGTTTTATTTGACATCTGACAGAATTGTTAACTTTGGACGTATGGTTGAAGTTGTCTTTAAAACACCAGCAAAAAAAAACCACACAACTGTTCCACTTAAAAGTCAGTGAGATTTAGCAGACTAAGTGCAGGGACTCCCACGCTCTAGACCTCTCTCTGCCACTACCTTCACCAGGATATTTCATCTCTGCAAGAAAGTAATTAGAATATTTCCAGTGTAACTCATGGTATGCAACAAGGATCACCACTTAATATATGTACAGCACTTCAGCGAGCTGAGTGTAGCGCATTATGAAACTGGGACAAGCAGATCAAGGAACTAAAACAAAAAATCCAACATGAAAAAAGAATCCAAAACTCTTACTTTTTGCTTCCGCTGCCATCCCCGTAGCAATGTAGACTCTTGGAGTCTAAAGCTGGGTGCTGACACTCCACGCAGACGGTGTGGCCCTCCCTGAGATACTGCATCCAGTGAGTGTACGAGTGGTGACTGTGCAAGCAGGCCGGCGTGATGGCCACAAGCTGGAATTCGACACAGTATCTGCAAGCAAAATAACCAACTAGGTTAGCACCTTCTGCGGGACTATAAGAGCAAGATTAAATTCAGTGACTACAGATCACTAATTAGAAACAAACCAAATCCATCACCCAAGGCTATGAAAAACAGAACACGTGAAGTACCTGTATTCTGACAAGCTTAAATGGGGAGTAAAGCTACTCTGTGATGCTTTCAACTCACATATCAAATAATAGCAGGTATTACCAACACCTCTTTTACAAAGGAGATGCAAATAGGTCAAGCATTTGACTAAAGCCAAAAACCAATAGGGCCAGATCTTCTGATTCCATGCCTGGTATTCATTTGCTCAGCCATGCTTCTCCATCATCTCAATGACTTACAATGAATTTTGTAGAGTGATTTGTGATGGGAGCTAATATTTGGTCCATAAAGGTTTTCCTTGCAATGATCTCCCTCCTAAGAGACAGTGAGGTTGTCGTGTCTTGTTACAAAGACTGACATGGCACTTCTGCTCTGCTCAGACTGCTCTGTGCTTCTGCTACGAACCAAATCTGGCAGAAAAGCTGAAAAGAACTGGCCTTGTTTGAAGGGGAAAACCAAGGAAGTTCAGTAACTGTCTACAAACACAGCAAAGGATTGGGTTCCAGTCTAGACTGGTTGTATATCAGTTATCATGGGGATTTCCAAACACCTTCAAGTGAACTGTGCAAGCTGCATGCTTCCATGCCTTATCTGAAAGGGAGCATTAACAAATGCGTGCAGTAGACCTGTGCTGACATTTCCAAATTCTACAGGAAGAAGACTCAACAAACTATGAGTGCAAGGGAGGCTCAGGGTCAACAGATGCTCTTTCCTTCAGATACTTAAGTGAGGGGACTGGACACACCCACACACTATGGAAATGCTTACATGTGCAACAGCATGTGGGGAAATAAATTAACAAGTATTTGGCTACTTCATGCTGTAAGCACAGTTCTGGGAAACTCTACGAGCCATTCACGGGAATGGCAGCTCTCCACAAGAAACAAGTAAACCATCAGAGACTACAATACAATTCTGTGGAGAACAACCACACTGCAAAGCTGTTCGAGAGGGCTGATAGGATGAAAGATAACCTTTCGTATCAGCACTGTGTTGCTGCAACTAACGACCCCAACTGGGAAAGAAGAGGACTGGGAAGGTCAATGCCAGCCCTCTGTGTTTGGGGCATCAGCCTGGAGGCAGTTCAGCATACACAAAGGCAGCTGTGTCTCAGTGGGTAAAAGGCAACAGATAGTTTTCTGCACAATCCTGTCTGTACCTGTGCTGTGCAACTGTACTACAGAAGAAAATGGGCAGCATTACAGCCAAAAGGAGCTGAAATAGGAGGAGGAAGAGTTTCTCAAAATAGCAGATTTTGTCCCCTTAGAATTTATTCCATTTACACAGAACAGTGCAAACAGCACCTGTTTCCACTTCTGATACCAAGGCATTATCCCTCAGGTCAGCAGCTCTCAGCAACACTTCTGGGGGCTCAGCATTAACCCTCAGAAGCCAACAATAGCCATAACATATTTCTATTCCATGACGCCTGTCTCCATTATACAGTTAAAGACTGGTCCTCAATGATATACATAGATAGAAAATAAACCCTGGATCAGGAACACACTGTTCTCTCTCATAGAAACTAGCATGGACCAAGGCTCCTGTAAGGCTGGTGTTACAAGTTTTCCAGTGAGTCTCTTAAGGAAGAGAGACATGCTGGTCTTAACACTGGTTAAAGAAGTAGCACAGAAGTTTCATCTGTCAGGATTGCTGAGCAGACACATCACACGCCAGCATCCACAGTCTGACAGCATTAATTCTTATAGAGGGGCCACCAGTCCATCTTATTTGACTCTTTGTCCTAGCTAAGTCCACTGCTTCTTAACTGTGCAGTATACCACACATGCTTATAGTAAAGATGCATGTATAAATATTAAATATGGTCTGTGGTTAGGAATCTTTTCAGGAAGCAGTCTAACTAATGACAGCCACAAAACTTTCAAGAGCTCCTTGCCAGACATCCTGCCATGAAGACAAGCACTGAGCACTCCAACTGGACATTGAGAAGAGCTGAAGTGACTGGTCTTTGGTCTACTGATCACCCGATCTCAACTCATGGCATCACTACTGTTTAAGATCTGAATTTCAGCCTTGTACTGGCCTTACATCAAGGCAGTCCAACAACTTTAAAGTCCATTGCAGATACTGCTGTTGCTCAGGGGAGAGCAGCACCCTGCTCTAATGAAGTGCTCTTGTCCTGATGGTTCTTATCAGCATGATGCTGGGCCCTGAACTGCTACCAGAGAGATGTTCAAGGTAGAATATGACTGTGTCACTGTGCTGCATCTCCAACTTACCCCACTCTTTCATTGCCATCATCTGCAGCTCTTTTTTTCCTCGCTTTTCCAAACCCTCCTGTTGTTATTAACGCGGGGACTGCATATATCAAAGAGAAAAAGTACACAGAGTAAGTGATAACAGCACACTGAGGCTGTCAATGTCTGCAAAACAGTGAAGATGGACCTTTAATCTCATATGGTTTTATCTTTGGCAGGAGAGGAAAACAAATATAACTTTGTATTTTCATATTATCAGTGACCACCAATCACTTCATTGAGAAGAGAATCTGTATAGCTACTATATTTTTGCCTGAGTAAAACAAACCTTTGCATCTCTGGAGTAAGGCACTCCCAAAGACAGAGCAGGAGGCAATATTCACTTAATGCCAACTCTCAAGAGGATTGGAAAAGCCAGTTGTAGCTAGAATCCAGACTGGACAGATTTTGACCCAAAAATAACAGTAAAAAAAATAATGAGCAGTTCTTCTAAAAATCAGCAAATGTATGTCATAAAAAGTTAACCAGGACAAACTCAAATCAGGTATTTCTCCACAAAGCAGCAGGAGGTTTACTCTGCATGCACTCTGTTCCAGTGCAGAGAAGTCATACCTTGCCTTTGATGGGTATTGCTCCTTCATGACTTTTTACAGATGACTCATTCATTACAAGAAAAAAAAAAAAGTGCTCAACACTCACTTCCAGAAGTTTTAAACTAGCATTAATCTACCAACTCTATCGAAAGTGCCAGAGATTTACAGTTGTATAAGTGAGAACACAACAGGTCTGTAATATTTCACTTTTGAAACACACCAGACCACAGCAAACGGCAGGTGCTATTTTTAAATATTGTCCCAGGAAGGATATCTCTAAACCCCTGCATGAAGAGCTCAGTTCTCAGTTACACCAGACAGGCCCAGAGCAAATCTGCTGGTGTCTCAAAACAGCTCTTTTCAAATACAATAAAGACCAAGTCTGCTGGCATAAACAAGAGTCCTACCCCTATCACCAAGACACTTACACTTTCAGCGGACTTACTCAGGTACTGTTTGCACTCTGTTCCTTGTTCTGTCCAGTACTCCACGCAGCCAGCCCTCTCCTCCAGAGGAGGGCATACCTCTCCTCCATTCCTGGGCTCCTGGATGACATGCCTCCTCCGAACACGGTATGTTGTCTTGCAAGGCTCTGCACAGCCACTCCAGACGCTCCACTGAGATACAACACAGGGCATAACTGGAAGAAGAGTAAGAAACAGGAGTGTAAAACGTTACAGAAATGAGGCAAGCAATGCACCTTCTCCAGAAAAGACACTTATTGACACAGCTCTGTACAACCTTCCTTTCTTCACAATTGTCCCAAAGTTGTGCCAGGCACTTCCCAGTAGCTCTGTTCCCAGGAGTTATCTGGCCAGAAGTTCCAGCCAACCAACCCAGTCCAAACTACATGGGGCCACTCACCTCCCTCTAGCTATGCTGCTGCAAGCTTCCAATGCAAACTGGCACCTGCACTGAATGAACTGTCACACAGAAAATGACAACCAGCCATGGAGTATGGACCACTGCATGGCTGGCTGGAGTTGATGGCAGAGTTCTAGAAGTGAAATACAATACAATAGCTTCCAACTTGTACATGTTGGTACCAATTTCAAGACATTTATCCATGACTTTAAGTTTTGGGAATCTTTAGTAAGTAATGCATCAAAAACCTTCATGTCCTTGAGCATCCCTACCTGTACTCACACAGTATCTTTGGTGCCAAAGTCCAAAGCTTCGGCTTACAAGCAGCTGCAGAAACGTCTCCCCTTAGCGTTTAATATCCCATTCATTCACTCTAAAACACACCGATATCATTCCCTATGTCACATATCCCCTTTTGTGATCTCTTCCCCGTGAGCGTGCCCATAGTTGAGCTTCATAGGACTGCACGTCTGGAGAGAGCTATCCAAAATAACAGAGGAAGTGCTTGAGAGCACAACAGCATTCACCTGCTGGCCTCTCTCAATGGCAACCTAGTACAATAGCTCATGATATACTACATCAATTGTACGTAACCAACACAACCTAAACATCAAAAACAACACATCCAGGAAAAAAACACTTGCAGGTAAGCCCAGTCAAAAAATTCTACATCCTTTGGATCTACATAAGAAATACAACTTGAGGAACTCATGCTTTGCTCAGATATGCCACCAGCAGGACTATTCACTCAGCTCACTTCTGATCACATTCTGCCTATTCCTTCATAGCCTAAGTGACTGGACAAAGAACTGTACCTTTTCTTGGTATTATCCACAGAAGAATTTTAGATTTTAAGCAAACACCTTGGCAGGAAAAAGAAAAAAAAAAAGGAAATTTGTATCGTTACTCCCAGGTCATTGTTGCTGATGTGGTAGGTCTGATACAGCCACACAGGGTACCATAGGTGGGTTTAGCATGCGTGTATTCACATTTTCCACTGACTCCAGTAACTACTGCTTTTGCAAATATTTAGGCAGAAGTGCAATTCCTGTCCTCCCTGAGCCTTTCATCTTCTTGGGTGGCGCTTTCAACTAGCAAACAGAATTTGGAATGAGCACAAAACTCTTATGAGGACCAAGTGAATGCAGCGAGCCTTCCGCTGGCAAAGGGAGAGCAGGGGGACATCAAGGAGCACCGTCTAGCTTCACTGTCCCTGCAGCACTCCTGAGAAAGAATTCTGTGATGCTAAGCCATACATTTATTATCACAGCATAGGAAGACTACGTGCACACAACTGCCGAAACATTTTACTGCTTCTGTGTCCACTCTTTGTCTGTGAACCACACCATCTGACCTGACTTAGCAGAAGGCCACCAGTATTCCAGCCTTGGCTACTCTGGCATCTCTTTCTCCCGGCAGGACACTGGCTGGCCTCCACTGTAATTGTGCCTGGCTAGCCCTTCTGCTCAGGAACTCCTGACAGGTATCAGTGGGAACAGAGCCTCACATGCCTTTTGTAATTAACTGTGCCTCACAATTCAATCTTCCTTGCCTGGCTGAAACAGTAACAGGAGCACACAGGCACAGAGAAGCTGGGATGTCACTGTTTTGATTGCATCCCTTCTTCCCTCATGTCTTCAGAAACTTTAGGAAGATTTTTCAAATGCTCTTCTTTTTTGTCCAATGGCACCACACACAGTTTTTAAACCTATTCAAAGATTTATCAATTATCTGAGGCATTTCATATTTGCAGCAATGTACCACAAGAAAAGCCTGTGCATCAGCTTGTATGCTGTACATTAAAATCCTTTTGTGCATCACATTTATTTTGAATCTTCTGCTCTTTTCAGTTTCATTTGGCCTCAGATATTAATGTCTTTGCCTTCATATTTTGCTTTAAAGTTAGTTTGATAAAGTAGCTCTGTAGCGATTGGACAAAAAGAAAACTACAGAAGAAAGGCCAGGCTACAAAGACAGAAGTCAAAGCAGAGTTGGGTCCCTTCCATGCAGCACAGAGGGACCACAGGCAGCAGGGCAGCGGCATCATGCCATGCACAGAGCCAGTCCCCCAGGACCCATCCGAGCCGGCAGGATGCTGCCGTACCGCCGGCATGCCACAGGACGGCACCGCCGAGCACCGTGCGACACCAGGGACACCACGGGACTGGAGCCGTGACTGCCCTTTGCCATTTCCTCATGAGGTGTAAGCACCTGCAAACACATTTCTCTTAGCACCCTGCTGTAACACGAACGGGGGGCGTGAGGGGTTCCTACTGATGCCAGCTATCCCGGCGGACTGCCGAAAGCAGCGGGAGCTGAGGAGAACAGCCAGCAGGGCCGGGGCACTGCTGTGACAGCCTGGGGCCAGGCCGGCATGCTGCAGGAGGGTCCCATCGCTGTCACGCTCAACGCTGCCAGCTGTGCCCGGCGGCTGGCAGTGGTCTCCTTGTTCACAGTTTGTCTAAAGTGCATTGGGATGATCTGATTTCCTTCCAGCTTCGGGATATCTCCTACCTGCCTTCCAGCTCTTTTTTGAAAGGAAAAAGGCAACTGAATCACAGGAACATCAGCCTGAAGCAAAACCGTGCAAAAAGGCACAGCCATGCAGGCTGGAAAATAAAAAAGCCATTATGTGGGGGGATAAGTCTCCTCGAGGATGCTATTTGTGGGGAAGGGATATGGGATTGCACCACTCACTAAAATAACTGATCTCCCTAATACACACCTGTACTTTACCAGCAGACATTTACAAAGGCTCAGCAGCACGGGCTCTGCAGGGCTGCACGGATAAGCAGGAGCAGTGGGTTTGATCCCATCCATCATCATCAGCCCCCAAAGGCACTGGGACAGGGGACATCTGAGTTGGGAAACGTCCCATTTCACATGTGTAAACCCGTCAAGTCACTTAAGCTCCCCTTCACCACTCGGAACAGCCGAGTGAACTTCTCTCTTCAGGGTTATTTTGGGGCTCTGCTCCCACTCCAGCTCGCCAAGGCAGGCACGCCCATCCCTTCCAGCATTCCCACACCCATCATGACGCCCCCAGCCCATGGCACCTGGGCACCTCCAAGCCTTGGTGTGGAGCAAAGCTCCCCGGTTCGGCCACCCCACATCCCCTCTCACCGTCCCCACACCCGTACCTGAGCCGTGCCCGGTGCGGGACACCTTGAAAGAGGACGGGCAGCGGGGCACCGGGGGCCACACTCACCTGGGCAGGCCCGGGCATAGTCGTGGCAGCAGTCGAGGGTGTGCTCGCACGCCTGGTCGCAGTAGCAGGGCCCGTAGGAGCCGTCGGGCCGCCAGCCGGTGCCCAGGCAGGACGGGTCTCGGCCGGGGCAGCACAGCCCCAGGGCGGCACAGCCGGCGGCGGCACGGCGGGGCAGGGCCAGCAGCGCCAGCACCAGCGCGGCGGCACGGCCCGGCATGGCGGCCCGGCACGGCCTGAGGGTACCGAGGGACGGCTCTGCCCGGCCCCGGTTGCTTTCGTTACTCCCCGGCTGCTGCGGGGGGAAGGAGCCGGCCCGCCTCCCCCGCGCCCCGGCCCCGCCGCTGTGAGGGGAAGGCACCGGGCAGGGCCCGCCCGGCCTCCCGCGGGGTGCCCCGGGGCCGGGGCGCGGCTCCTGGCCTGGGGCCGTGGGTTCAGAGCCGGCTTCCAGAGCCCTCGGGCGGCTCTCGGTGCTCCTGCCGGGGCCCGGGGGCTCCCCCGCCTTCGGGGCAGCTCCACGAAGGTGCTGAGGGGTTTTGAAGGGGGTCGCTTCTGCACTGACTGCCAGCCGAATTGCCGCGAGGAGTGTCAGCAAAACCAACCAAAAGAGACTTTTTTATTATTATTATTTATTTTCTTCCCCCCAGATTTGACTCCAGCATACCTCAGGAGGCATTAAAAACCTGAAACTACTCCTCTCCCACTACAGTACAGCAGCTTGTAAGAAAGCGACCCAGCTGGCTACAGTGCCTTTCTACAGAGCTCCTCTGAATTTTCTGCTTACTTTCAAATGCAAGAAGCTCAGTGATTAGAGCCACTCCTGTGAATTATTTAATTATTTAGCTATTCAGTGGGACACTAAAGGCTTTACTGTAACTTCTTATCAAACAGACTTGCTTTAAAATATCAATCACAACAGATGTTACACCTTGCTGAATAGTGTACTGGGGTTTATAAAGCCCACCCACTGAATTTTTGCGATTCATTATGCTATTGTACTAACGGTGGGTATGGACAGTGTTCCCACTTCAGGGAGATTGCAGAAAAGATGCTTCTAGAAAAAAAATAATAATAATAATAAAAACACGAATACTGCTGGACAGGCTAACACCTTCATCATGCGCAGTGCTGGAGGTATGGGAACAGAGGAGACCTGGCATCATACCAAACCAGGCATAACATGGTAAAATCTTCCAAAAAGATAAGGAATAAAAGGAACTTCAGCTTCTTTGTATGTCCCTAGATACCTGTATCAAGGAAATGATGTCTCATTTTCTTGGCAGTGGTCAGATATCGCCTCCTTGGAAATCAGAGACGTAACAAATCCTACAGTGGGTATGAGACAAAAAAAAACATGAGAGGAAAGAGAAGAGCACTAAAAATTAGAGGCCATAGGGTCTAGGCAGAAATTTAAAGATACCAGGTGTTAATTCCTGCCTCTGCCAATGAGTCACTCACTATGTGACCAAAAGTCATTTAATCAATGTATGCATCATTCTTGATCTAGAACAGGAAGAACATTCAAAAGGAGACTGCATTACTCAACTAATTAGTCAACACAAACAGAGGATTGTACAGCTTTTGCACAATTAACCGAAGGCAGTAATAGAGAACACTTCCCAGGTGTTTCTGTTACCAGCACTGATACTGCCATGCTCCAAGTTGGGGTAGGAGGAATACAACCATATTATTCTGAGACACACAAAACTGACTGAATAAAAATTAGTTTTAGAAAGCAATGTTCTCATATTAAGACTGCAATTTTAACTGTTCCTGTGCTATTAGGAAAATCAGATCTGGGTTCAGATATCTCACGGGGTTTCCATTCAATACATCCCCCACCCTAAAGCTTTTGGGAGAAAACTTTGTTGCTTATCTCATGTTCCTGGTCTGAAAGCAAAAGTTCTTCCTTGTGGTTTGACATAATCCTAGGGGATTTTTTTTAAGGTTTGTGTCTTTTTTTCCCTGACATGCTCCAAAGATAATAATATTAAAGAAGCCAGGGAAAGCATGGCCCAAGCCCTGGACCATGGCAGCCCAGCAAGAGGTCTGTTGCAAAAGAATCGCCGATTCTAAAAGTGGGACTGTTGGCCCTATGAGGAATACTGGAGCCAAGCGAGTGTGCTTTATAGAAAGGAACTGTGGCTAGCCCGTGTTACAAGACATCTTCAGCAGCAGAACAGCTTGCAGGGCTGTCCTTGGCAGTGGAACTTGTGTCTTCCAACCTACAGGGAACATCAAGCAGCAGCTCACCAGGGCAGGTGGAAAAGCTGCTTTATCTGCTTGTTCAAACACAGCTGCTTTCCCTGCTGGCCATGAGGGGCTCCTTCCCTCCTGCTCGTTTTCCCTTGCTTAATTAAGTTGCACTGTGATGGAGCTGCTGCTGACCCAGTTCCCAGAGGCCCTCCTGCTCCCTTCGTTAACGCTGATGGACAGAGGATGTCAACAGATGCAATGTCCCTCCCAAGCGACCAAGGAAAGGAAGCTTATTCTCACTTCTACTCTGGGTAGTGTCTGGGATAGTTCATCACTGTCCATTACCATCTCTGACAAAGGCTGAGCCAACCAGCTGTGGTATGGGGAATTCTGTCCAGTGCCAGCCCCTTCTTAAACTTTATTTTGCCATAAGCCCCCATCTCCTCCTGATAAAATAAATAAATAAATAAATAAAATAAAATAAAATAAAATAAAATAAAATAAAATAAAATAAAATAAATCATTATGTAGTCTGGATAGTATTTACCACATTCTAAAACAGGATTTACCCTACTCCCTATATGTATCCATCTCTGTATCCATCTGTCTGTCACCTGATGATTTACATGTACACTGTAAATGCATAAGGAGAGAGGTATTTTCTTTGTTCTGTGTTTGTACAGCCTCTTGCACATTACAACCCTTGTGCAGGACCTGGATTCTTGTGCATTGCAGCAATAAGGGCATCAGCAGAGCTATCAGTACACAGGCCAAAAAAAAAAAAAGATGCTCTGGTTTAGAGCATCTGATTTTAGCCTCCATTGTGACAGCCAAGTCTGTAAAAGCATAAAAGGAAAGTAGCCAACCAAGTGATTTGATTTCTTGGAGCTGATTTCTATAGATATGTGAAGGCCACAGGAGAGCTGGCTGCCAACTCATTCAAACCCTTCTTAGAAGCTATCTCATGGGATGCTCTGCTTGTTTTGTTCTGTTTCAGCAAGTACCACCAATTCACTTGAGCCTTCCGGAGTATGACACAAATCAACAGACATGACAATGCTTGTCCAAAAGCAAAGGTCAGTGTTTCCACGTACGCTGTTGCTGCAATGAGCAGGTACCAACTTGAGTAATTCCAGGCGCACATATCAGCTTTGTTCTCAGCTTTTAAATACCAGCAGAGAAACCCTCAGAAACTTGAATGTTTTCAAAGAAAAGCTGGGACAAATAATTCAGCTTCCTACTACAAACAAATCCAGTAGATGCAGCAAAACTCCAAGACCAAGAAGCCCAGTGAGAGGTTGAGGCCTTTTGGGATAGGTGATAATCAGACTCGACCCTAAGCACAGATGGTATTTAAACAAACCAAATCTGTGTGCCAACTCCTGTCACCCCTTTGCTCTTTGGAATCTGAGCTCTCAACTAGTAGCTACATTAAAATCTTTAAGCCCTTTCTTCCTGTCTGATCACCCTGTTTCTGGGGATACCCTCCTTTATGAAATGATGCTGTAGCATCCTTTGAAACAGAAGTGTTTCATTTTCAGTAGTAGGTGCAAGCCCTAAATTTCCTCCCTTTCAGGTTGCTGCTCTGGCAGGGCAGCAGCACTTTCTCCTAAGCCCTGCGGGCCTGACCCAGACACAGTACAGCAGAGGAGAGGAAGGCCAACACAAAACCAAAGAGACCGACGTGCCCCGTGCTATTCTTAACTAACTCTCCCTTTCAAACTGTCCATTATGCTTGTGCCTCACTGATCAGGCAGAATAGGGGCAAGCTGGCCACATGCCAAGGCCGAAGCAACTGCTGTGTTTTTGTGTTCAGGGCACTTAGCTGATCCTGTAGTTTGCTGAGTGTTTTCCCATCCCAGATCCTTCCCACTGTGTGGCATATAGAAAAAAAAAAAAAAAAAGCCTCCAACACAAGAAAAGCAGGAACACGTGCAAGAAAAACGTGGCAATCTCTAATGATTTACCCTACCTGGATATTCCACTGAAGCCATTCAGTGGAGCCTGAGAAGAATTTATTTCTTGTTTCATTCAGTTGTTTAACTCCCTTCCCCTTGTGCTGGCAGCGGGAGATATCTGAAGCATCTCAGCCCTTCATCACACCCGAGGCCCTGGGGATGCTGCTTTCCCAGCCCTGACATTAACTCAGTACACACAGGTCTTCCTTTACACAGGTCAAAGACATCCTTTGCACAAGCTGGTTAGTGTCCTGCTTCTCAGAGCTGCTCTAACCAGAGCAGAGACTGGGATCTGATCTCAGACTGCTGCTGATAAAAAGCTGAGCACTCATCTATCCACTAGAAAAGCTGCATTAGGCCAAAACAAAGACCTATCTTCCCCCACATCTGTGTTCAATAGTGGCCAATACCCGATGCCCAGGAGGGAGTAAAAGTTGTCTGGTGGTATTTCACCACAATGCTTTCAGACCTTCTGGTAAATCACCTCCAGGATTACCTAATAGCTGGTGCCTATGCCTCAGCCAGGGTGTTTTATACAAATCCTCTCCCCTCTCACTTCAGACCAACGTAAGCTTTTAGCCCCTGCAGCCTCTCACAGAAGAATGCCATGCTGCACGGGGCACAAAGTTATTCTGAACCTGGCATCAGTTGATTTAATTGGAATTCCTGGGTCCTGTATTGGAAGAGACGGGGAACAATCAATTCTCATTTACTTTCTCAAGGCCACTTAGGATTCTATAGATCGCCACTGAGTTCTCCCTTAATCATCTCTCTTGCAGGCTGAAGAAGGAGCTGAAGGGGCTGCCTGGGCAGCGGTTTGAGTCGGGAGAGAGGTGCCACCAGCCCAGGCTCTGCCTCAGCAGCTCTGCCACTGTGGTTTCCCTGCCACTAGTTGTGTTTACAGCATCCAGTTCCTCCCTGCTTACCTCACAGGCCCTGGCTCTCTCGAGTCTTTCTTTAGGTTAGCTAGACCTTAATGACAAATGACAAAAGAAATCACTGCTGCAGACGTGGTCTTGCTTTCCCATGCACCCACTCACAATACGAATTCAAACAGTTAAGGTCAAGATGAAAACAAATTGACACAGACAGATCATAAGGGCTGAGGGAGAAAAAGAAAAAGAAAAAAATTTGATGTGTGAAAATATCCTAATGCAAGAATTAAGGTGTGTTTTTTTTTCTTCTTTCTTTCAGAAACTCAAAATAACAATTGTAAAAACTACAGGAGCTGGGCAATTTACTTTCACACCTGCTCCTGCTTTCTTAAAATGCCTGCCTGCATACTTATCCCAGGCACCCTGTACAGAAAGCTGCAATTAAAAAAGTGTTGGGGGGTCAGGAAAGG